TATAGATTCATCTGAAGCTTTGGTAATTTTTCCTTTTTAATGTTAGAATTCTGTAAGGAACATTGACCATATGTTAGTATATGAAATAGTTTATTCTTGTGAAACTGCTGACAAAATAATCTGTATATTAAACTTGGCATTTTTATTGCCTTCTAGTTTCATATTTCTTTCTTATAAGATTAACGTAGCCATCTTAATTAAAAATATGTCTCCAAGTAAAGTATGGAAAGGTTGGCTTTGAAAAGAAATAAAGTGTTATTTCTTCTGAGAAAAAAACCAGAGAATAAAAGACCGAAAATACAGATAAATTTTAAGGTTGTAACTCTTAAGAAAGAAATCATCTGCTCAGAAGGAGATAGCTGAAGGCTTAAGGGAAAGGAAAAAATTGGGAGTTGGTCACTATAACGAGTCATACAGTAAAAGTAACATCCAGTTATCACTGAAAGCTATGAGACCTAGCAGCATTGCATGACCTTCTCCAGCAAATTTTTTTCTTGTTTGAAGACTGGAGGTAGGGAAGGTTCCCAACTATTTTGCCAAGGCTGGACTTGGACCCATGATCCTCCTGCCTCAGCTTCCCAAGTAGCTGGGACTACAGGCACAAGCCACCACGTCTTGCTTATTAGAATTAATTTTGGCCAGGCATGGTGGCTCATGCCTGTAATCCAAGCACTTCGGGAGGCCAAGGTGAGTGGATCATCTGAGGTCAGCAGTTTGAGACTAACCTGGTTAACACAGTGAAACCCTGTCTCTACTAAAAATATAAAAAATTAGCCAGGCGTGGTGGCACACACCTGTAGTCCCAGCTACTCGGGAGGCTGAGACAAGAGAATCGCTTGAACCCAAGAGGTGAAGGTTATAGTGAGCTGAGCTCACACCACTGCACTCCAGCCTGGGCAACAGAACAAGACTCCATCTCAAAAAATAATAATAATAATAATTTCTAATTCTATTGTTAAATAAAGTCCAAAAAGGAAGGAATCCCTAGAAACTCATTTCTAGATGGCAATTAACATATTGTCATAGTTGCAAGTAGGTTTTGGTGAATGGAAAGATGAATAGTACACAGCAGATACAGTGGTGGCTCATGCCTGTATGTAATCCTAGCACTTTGGGAGGCCAAGGAAGGTGGATCACTTGAGCTTGGGAGTTTGAGACCAGCCTGGACAACATGGTGAAACCACATCTCTTTTAAAAAAAAAAAAAAAAAAAAAAAAGGACCAGAAAAAATTGATTTAATGTGTAACCTGGAAGAAAGATCAATCTGAAATGCTTAGTAAGGAAGGTAACAGATTTCTCCTGAGAACTCCCAAGAAGGTTTAACCTAGAAAGCATGAGGTACCACAGTGTTGAGAAAAAGGAGTAACAACAGGAAACAGACTTGGGGTTCATGACTGTAATCCCAGCACTTTAGGAGGCTGAAGTGGCAGGGGATTGCTTGAGACCAGCCTCAGCAATATAGTGAGACCCTGTCTCCACAAAAAATAAAAAAGAAGAAAGAGGCCAGGCGAGGTGGGTCATGCCTGTAACCCCAGCACTTTGAGAGGCCAAGACAGGCGGATCACCAGAGACCCGGAGTTCAAAGACCAGCCTAACCAACATGGAGAAACCCCACCTCTACTAAAAATACAAAATAAGCCCGGTGTAGTGGCGCATGCTTGTAATCCCTGCTACTCGGGGGGATGAGGCAGGAAAATCACTTGAACTCGGGAGGCGGAGGTTACAGTAACTTGAGATCGTACCATTACACTCCAGCCTAGACAACAAGAGCAAAACTTCACCTCAATGACAACAAAAAATTACAAAAAAAAAGTGTGACAAAAAGTTGAATAATCTGCCCAAGATTACACACAATATGAACAAGGGTATACTGGCTCCCAAGTACATGTTCTAAACCATACTATCTCAAATAAAATTTTATTTTATTGTATTTTTTTTTTTTTGAGACGGAGTTTCGCTCTTTTTACCCAGTTGCTGGAGTGCGATGGTGCGATCTCGGCTCACCGCCACCTCCGTCTCCTGGGTTCAGGCAATTCTCCCGCCTCAGCCTCCCGAGTAGCTGGGACTACAAGCATGCGCCACCATGCCCAGCTAATTTTTGTATTTTTAGTAGAGACGCGGTTTCACCATGTTGACCAGGATGGTCTCAATCTCTTGACCTTATGATCCACCCGTCTCGGCCTCCCAAAGTGCTGGGATTATAGGCATGAGCCACCGTGCCCGGCCAAAAAATTTTATTTTATTCTATTTTTTTAAATAAAGATGGGGTTTCACCATGTTGGGCAGCCTGGTCTTGAGCTCCGAACCTCAGGTGATCCGCCTGCCTTGGCCTCCAAAGTGCTTGGATTACAGGCGTGAGCCACCACGCCCGGCCTACTTTTTTTATAATGAAAATAAACTTACTTAAAAAAAAATGAGCTACTTAATCTAAATCATTATTACTCTATTACTATGTAGCTCTCTGTACAGTTAAATGGTACGATATACTTGCAAACTGCATATTAGAATAAGTGGTATAATCATATGGAATAACCACAAGTTACATAAAACTAACAAAAGTGTAAACTAATAACATACCTCTCCTCTATTCTGTTCTTATCCAAAAGGGGCTGCTTAATCCACTGGTTAACAAGTCTTTGTCCTTGAGGGGTTTTACACTTATTCAGCAAGGCAGCCAGAGACTGAGAGCCAGTGGTATCTTCAACAGAACCCTAGTAAACAAAAGATAAAATATACAGAATGGCATGCTTGCTGGTGAAAACCTTACTATCACATGAAAAACAGAGGAACAATATACATAATATCTTCAAATATTAAACAAGAAATTTCCACAAAAAGTCCCTCTTCCTAAGCTGTACATTTCTCCTCAAGCCAAAACCACTTTATAATTACTATAGTTCAATCTGTTGAGACAGGATCTCACTCTGTTGCCCAGGTTGGAGTGCAGTGGTGCCATCCCAGCTCACAGCAAGCCAGAACTCTTGGGGCTCAAGGAATGCTCCTATTCCAGCCTTTTGAGTAGCTGGGTCTACAGGTGCATGCCACCAAGTCCAGCTAATTTTTTCTTCGTTTCTGTAGAGTTGGTCTCACTATGTTACCCAGGCTGGTCTCAACTCCTGGCCTCTAATGATCCTCCCACCTTGGCCTCCCAAAGTGTTGGGATTACCACGGCACCCAGCCACTTACTGCAGTTTTAGAGATAAAACTTCTTAGAATATAATTTTAAAGAATTGCCAGGCCAGGCACAGTAGCTCATGCCTGTAATCCCAGCACTTTGGCAAGCCAAGGCAAGCAGATCACCTGAGATCAGGAGTTCAAGACCAGCCTTGCCAACAAGGAGAAACCCCATCTCTACTAAAAATACAAAAATTAGCTGGGCATGGTGGCACATGCCTATAATCCCAGCTATTCAGGAGGCTCCCAGCTAATCACCTGAACCCAAGAGGCAGAGGTTGCAGTGAGCTGAGATTGCACCATTGTACTCCAGCCTGGGCAACAAGAGCAAGATTCCATCTCAAAAAAAAAAATAACTGCTATTAGTATACAAATTATTCATAAAGTGAGGACAAATACTACATATATACCTGGAAACTAGAAAAAATAAAGTAATTTGAAGAGTGAGGCACACCTGTCGTCCCAGCTACTTTGGAGGCTATAGTAGGAGAATTGCTTGAGCCCAGGAGTTTGAAGCTGTAGTACACTCTGATGGCACTCCTGTGAATAGCCACTGCACTCCAGCCTAGGGAGCAGAGTGACAACAGTTTCTTTTTAAAAAAAAAAAAAAAAAAAAAAAAAAAGGGTAGGCCAGGCGCCATGGCTCACATCTGTAATCTCAGCACTTAGGGAGGCTGAGGTGGGTAGATTATGATTACGAGGTCAGGAGTTTGAGAGCAGCCTGGCCAATACAATAAAAGCCCGTCTCTACTAAAAATACAAAAATCAGCTGGGTGTAGAGGCACATGCCTGTAGTCCCAGCTACTCAGGAGGCTGAGGCAGGAGAATCGCTTGAACTCGGGAGGCGGAGGTTGCAGTGAGCCGAGATTGTGCCACTGCACTCCAGACTGGGAGACAGAGTTTGAGACGTCGTCTCAGAAAGAAAAGCCTTGAAAAAGAAAATAGCAGAACACAGTGGTTCACGCCTGTAATCCCAGCTACTACTCTAGAGGCTGAGGCAGAAGAATCACTTGAGGCCAGGAGTGAATGAACAGCCTGGGCGACACTGTGAAACTCTAACTCTGAAAAAATTTTTAAATTAGGCAAGCATGGTAGCTTGTGCCTGTAGACCCAGATAACTCGTGAGGTTTAAACAGGAGGATTGCTTGGGCCCAGGAGTTCAATACTGCAGTGAGCAATGATCTTGCCACTTCACTCCACCCTGGGTGATAGAGCAAAGCCCAGTCTCTAAAAAAGTACTAAGTAGGATGGGGGTGATGGCTCAAGCCTGTAATCCCAGCACTTTGGGAGGCTGAGGTGGAAGGATCACCTGGAGTCAGAAGCTTGAGACCAGCCTGGCCAACATGGTGAAGCCCATCCCTACTAAAAATATAAAACTTAGCCAAGCAGCTGAATGCAGTGGCTCACGCCTATAATCTCAGCACTTTGTGAGGCTGAAGTGGGTGGATCACGAGGTCAGGAGATTGAGACCATCCTGGCCAACATGGTAAAACCCTATCTCTACTAAAAATACAGAAATTAGCTGGGTATGGTAGCTTGTGCCTGTAATCCCAGCTACTCCAGAGGCTGAGGCAAGAAAATCACTTGAACCAAGGAGTCGAAGGTTGCAGTGAGTTGAGATTGCACCACAGCATCCAGCCTGGGCAACAGAGTGAGACTCCATCTCAAAAAATAATAACAAAAAATAAATAAATAATTTTTAAAAAATTAGCCAGGCATGGTGGCAAGCAACTGTAATCCAAACTACTAGGGAAGTGGAGGTTGCAGTGGGCCAAGATTGTCCCCCCCAGCCTAGGGGACAAGTGAGACTTGGTCTTAAAAAAAAAAAAAAAAAAAAAAAAGGCCTTTCCGAGAGCAAAATGGGTCACCAGCAGCTGTACTGGAGCCACCCGCGAAAATTCGGCCAGGGTTCTCGCTCTTGTCGAGTCTGTTCAAACCGGCACGGTTTGATCCGGAAATATGGTCTCAATATGTGCCGCCAGTGTTTCCGTCAGTACGCGAAGGATATAGGTTTCATTAAGTTGGACTAAATGATCTTCAAAGGATTATCCAAGGCATCTGCCATGAAAAACCACGATAGTTCTTTGTACTTAAAATAAACATTTTAAAAAACCAAAAAAAAAAAAAAAAAAAGGCTGGGCAAGGTGGCTCACGCCTATAATCCCAACACTTTGGGAAACTGAGTTGGGTGGATCACAAGGTCAAGAGATCAAGACCAGCCTAGCCAACATGGTTAAACCCTGTCTCTACTAAAATTACAAAAATTAGCTGGGCATGGTGGCGCACACCTATAGTCCCAGCTACTGGGAAGGCTGAGGCAGGATAATCGCTTAAACCCAGGAGGTGGAGGTTGCAGTGAGCTGAGATTGCGCCACTGTACTCCAACCTGACAACAGAGAGAGACTCTGTCTCAAAAAAAAAAACGTAAAGTGGAGGGGGAGAAGGGGAGAGAAGAGAAAACACAGCCATTTGAAGGTACTTATCTAATCCAAGTATAGTAATATTAAAAAATATTTTAGCTCCTTAAAAAGATTTTTCAGTATACATCAATGAAAACATTTTTTAACCATTCAATATTTTTAACCCATGTATTTTTTTATTTTTTATTTTTACCTGGAAAAGGTTAAGGGCTCTGACTGCTGCAATATCCAATTTCATGTACTGGCTAAAGTCAAAAGTAGTCAGTTCAAACTGTCCAAAATTGGAATCATCAGATAATAGTTCTAAAAACTTGATTACTGCAGACAATGATGAAACTGCAACCTAAAATTAAGAATTTAAAATGAAAGATTTCTATACCACTAGGACCAGTTCTAAAGATTTTAAAAAACAAATGTAAAATGAAAATACATTCTAAACTCTTGATATTTTTCCTTGGTGTTCCTTCCCAATCCAAACCAAGAAAGCCAAAGGTTAATCTCTTGAGATTTGAAAATGGTTTTTACAAAGTGAAAGTTAACTGTAATTTCAGCATTATTTATAATAGCCAAAAAAGAAAATTACCCAAATATCCATCAAAAGTAAAATGGGGGCTGGGCGCAGTGGCTCATGCCTGTAATCCCAGCACTTTGGGAGGCCAAGGTGGGAAGATGACTTGAGGCTAGGAGTTCGAGACCAGCCTAGCCAACAGAATGAAATCCTATCTCTATTAAAAATACAAAAATTGGCCGGGCGCGGTGGCTCAAGCCTGTAATCCCAGCACTTTGGGAGGCCGAGGCGGGTGGATCACAAGGTCAAGAGATCAAGACCATCCTGGTCAACATGGTGAAAACCCATCTCTACTAAAAATACAAAAAATTAGCTGGGCATGGTGGCGCATGCCTGTAATCCCAGCTACTCAGGAGGCTGAGGCAGGAGAATTGCCTGAACCCAGGAGGTGGAGGTTGCGGTGAGCTGAGATCGCACCATTGCACTCCAGCCTGGGTAACAAGAGCGAAACTCCGTCTCAAAAAAAAAAAAAAAAATACAAAAATTAGGCCCTTTCCACCTTGTGAAGTTAGAGTGAGAAAATGATTTTCTATGAGGAAGTGGGCCCTCTCCAGAAAACAGATGATCCAGTGCCTTAATTTTGAACTTCCCAGCCTCCAGAACTGTGAAATAAAAATACAAAAATTAGTAGGGATGGTGGCACATGCCTGTAACCCCAGCTACTGGGAAGGTTGAGACAGAAGAATCGCATGAACTCAGGAGGCGGAGGAGGCAGTGAGCCGGGATGGTGCCATTGCACTCCAGCCTGGGAAACAACTGTAAAACTGTGTCTCAAAAAAGAGAAAAAAGAAAAAGAAAGAACCAGGTAAATTAACTATAATCACAGCAATATTTATAACAGCCAAAAATGAAAATTACCCAAATGTCCACCAAAATTAAAATGCAGGCCGGCACAGTGGCTCACACCTGTAATTCCAGCACTTTGGGAGGCCGAGGCAGATGGATCACCTGAGGTCAGGAGTTTAAGACCAGCCTGGTCAACATAGCAAAACCCCTTCTCTACTAAAAATACAAAAATTAGCCAGGCATGGTGGCATGTACCTGAACCCAGAGGCAGAGGTTGCAGTGAGATGAGATCTCACCACAGCACTCCAGCCGGTGTGACAGTATGAGACTCTAAGACTCCATCTCAAAAAACAAAAAAAAGTAAAATGGGGAAGAGAGTAGGGGTGGGGAGAAGAGAAGTAAAACGGATAAATTCTGACATGTTTGTGCTATAAAACATAAACATGAAAATCCACAATTACACTCAAATATATGGATAAATCTTATAAATACTGAATGAAGGAAACTAGACACAACAAATTATATAAATTCATCTATATAAACTATAAAAACAGGCAAAACTAACCTACATCATCACAGGTCAGAACCAGGGTTACCCGTGATGAGGGTGACTGTGAGGAAGTATGAGAAAGACTCCTAGGGTCCTATTAACATTCTGATTCATGCATGCTGGTTACATACGTTCAGTTAATGAAAATTCTTGCCTGGGTATGGTAGTTCACACTTATAATCCCAGCACTTTGGGAGGCAGAGGCAGGCAGATTGCTTTGAGCTCAGGAAATTAAGACCAGCCTGTGTAAGATGGCAAAACCCCATCTCTACAAAACATACAAAAATTAGCTGGGCGTGGTGACAACCGCCTGTGATCCCAGATACTTGGAAGGCTGAGGCTGGAGAACTGCTTGAACCCAGGAGATGGAAGATGCAGTGAGCTGAGATCAGACCACTGCACTCCAGCCTGGGAATCAGAGTGAGACTGCCTCAAAAAAAAAAAACATCTTATATGCTTATGGCACATGTGCTTTCCCATGTATATATTTATAATTTACATTTTTACTATGTGATTACTATAACAAAAATTAGTCGGGCTCGGTGGCTCATGCCTGTAATCCCACCACTTTGGGAGGCCAAGGCGGGCAGATCACTTAAGGTCAATGAGACTAGCCTGGCCAACATGGTAAATACCAGTCTTTACCAAAAATACAAAAATTAGCTGTGTGTGGTGGTAGGTACCTGTAATCCCAGCTACTAAGGAGGCTAAGGCAAGAGAATTGCCTGAACCCAGGAGACACAGGTTGTAGTGAGCCGAGATGGTACCACTGCACTGCAGCCTGGGCCATGGAGAGAAAATCCATCTCAAAAAGAAAAAAAAAAATTCAAGACATCAAACTGACAGCTCAGTGACAAATTCTAGTTATTAAAATCTACTTGCTACTGATTCATTGTAAATTTAACTGTTTTTCCTGTTTGGTAACATAATAATCTGCCTGCGCTTGCCATGGTAGTATAAGGTTATCACAAGAACTTCCTGCTATATCACCCAACAGCAAAGATAAAAACTTTCTAGTAGCTTTTCTATAAGCTTCCTCATATTTTCAGCCATAGAGGGATAAGTTTCTCTTATGTGGTATGCTCACACATATTGGTTTTTGATTGTCTCACAAAGTAAAATAAAACAGATAAATTAGCTTATATGGATCAAACTATTTACTTGATAAAGCGATTTCAAAATGATAGTTATAACAGTCTCAGTTATAACTCTAGTTTCACTCTAGTTGGAAATCTACTTTGAAAATTATAAGCAGTTATAAAACCTGTCTTGTATAAATTTGTTTTGTTTTGTTTTGTTTTTGTTTTTTGATGGAGTCTTGCTCTGTTGCCCAGGCTGCAAGCAGTGCAGTGGTGCAATCTCAGCTCACTGCAACCTCTGCTACCCGGGTTCAAGCAATTCTCCTGCCTTAGCCTCCAGAGTAGCTGGGATTACAAGTGCATGCCACCACAGCCAAATAATTTTTTTGTGTGTATTTTTAGTAGAGATGGGGTTTCAGCATCTTGACCAGGCTGGTCTTGAACTCCTGACCTCATGATCTACCTGTCTCAGCCTCCCAAAGTGCTAGGATTACAGGCGTGAGCCACCGTGCCAGGCATAAATTTTTGAAAATAAAATTTTTCATTTGATTTATTACTAATCCACAAATATGCAGTCATTTCCCCATTATTTTACCACAAAAACACGTCTCTCAAATGACACTGAGCTCTCAGATTTGACCATTAAGATAAACTTCAACTACTGAAAATTCCATTTGATACAATTACTACGTGCTGTATATATTTTCACCCTTATTATCTACTAATCTTCATAACAATCCTTTAAGGCAGACGTCTTAGGCTCATTTAACAGATAAGGAAACCATCTTTCAGAAAGGTGAAGTAATTGATTAAAGACCCCCCCCCCCAACACAAATAAAGCTGATACAAGAAACAGGTCTTTTTACGTAGGTGCTATCTCACCTCTCAACTCCTTCAGTATCAGTAATCAGGCTCTTTCTTGTGCAACAATTAAAACTCTTCCACACTCCAGAAATACGTACAGTGTAAATATTACATTTAAAGTTATATCTAAATTTATCTAGCAATTTTCTTGAGTTTTTCACAAGCTTCATCATGGATAAAGCAAGCTTAATATTGGTCCAGCACAGTGGCTCACATCTGTATCCCTGCACTTTGGGAGGCCGAGGCAGGCGGATCACATGAGGTCAGGAGGTCAAGACCAGCCTGACCAACATGATGAAACCCCATCTCTTTGCTTATATTCGTTACTTTAAAAAAAGAAAGAAACCCCACCTCTATAAAAATACAAAAATTAGCCAGGCACAATGGCAAGTGTCTGTAATCCCAACTACTTGGGAGGGTGAGGCATGAGAATTGCTTGAATCCAGGAGGTGTAAGTTGCAGTGAGCTGAGACTGCAGCACTGTACTCCAGCCTGGGTGAGAGAGTGAGACTGTCTCCCAAAAAAACAATTATAATAAGCTTATTGATACACAGTTTAGGTTTTGAGATACATATGACAGAAATACCCTTCTAAAAAGTCACTATAATTTACATATTATTATATATAATTCACATTTATAATCCATATACCTGATTCTCCATTTCTGGCAATACAGCACTATTCATCTGTTCTCCCTTTTTGCCTTTCAACAACCTGTTGAGGTCCTGATAAATGTCTTTTGTGGAAAAGTCAGCTTTTTTTTTTTCTGTGATCAGAATTCCTCCTCTTTGAATAATCTGTTTTAAAAGGAATCATTTCATTATTATGAGAAAAGCAG